CGGCCTTTCGCCCAGGTGCGCGGCGGACGCGAGCCGCTGCTCTCCCACATGGTTCTCACGGTTGGACTCAACACCAGGCCGAGTCAACCCTTCTGTTACCTCTTCTCCTACTTATTCTGTACAGAATACAATCTCCTTCTACCTTGGCTTCTACGACTTCTATCTTCTTCTAAGGAACCGGGCCTGAAGATCGCAGTAGTAAGGGTTCAACCGGATTAGCCTTAACTCCATTGCGATAGATGGCACTAGTAATTTTCACCGACAGGCCATGACAACGTCACCCAGATGTGTGTTTGAATAAGTGCTCACTGCACTCAAGAAACTGTGCGCAACTTCTAATCCGTTAAACGTTAGTGGATTAAGTGCAAAAGACACTGTCATTTGTAGATTTTCATGTTCAAAATATTTGGTTTGTTTTATTCCATCTTGCAGTATTGTAAAACTGGTTTTTAAGGTTGTCTGCTCTAAGTTTTGGTTTAGGGTCCCGATTTGCTATTTTTCAGCGATATATCGCTATAGCGTAAAAGCCAGTCATTCGGCTGTGTGCGCATGGAGGATAATTTGGAGTTTTTTTCACAGTGCACTTACTGTGCTCGTGTCCTTCCGACTAAGAACTGTATGACATGGTAGAGTTTCATTTGATTTTAATTTCTTGCAGTGAAAGCTGTCGCGCTGTAATGTATTGTTCGGAACACTGCAGGACCCAAGATTTGTCTAATACCTTAATTGCCGATCATGCCCATAGCAAGTGGTGCAGTCTATTGTCTGTTTTCATGAACCGATCCAGTTCCTTGACGGAATTTCCCCTCACGTTTTCTGATCGTACCTGCGGTTGCCTTACCCCAGCCCACTAATTGCTATTGTTCTCAGAAACAACTCACGAGTACTTCTCAAGCGCAAAATTATTCCGGTTTCTTCGATTATACGGAATCTACAATCTTGGTCTTTGGAAATACCTTTTTTACACCGCCGGTTCAGGTCCCGGTGAGTAAATTTGGGCGCTCGCATTGTCACCATTGATTTTCACGGATTATTTCATGATCTTATTGTCTGTGTTTATGTTTGTAAACCCTGTACAACCTGCGTTAAACTTTCTTTGGAACTCGACCTCAATGTACTTCACAGAGGAAGCGCTAGTATGCTAATACCTGCCATAACTTTGTCAACCATGTCAGCGATGTTTTAGCCACCCTGCTGCCAG